TTCTTCAGGAGTTAACCAACTGACTTTTATTAATTTACAGCTGACTTAAAGTAAGATAAAATACATATAATTTTTTTTAAAAGGTCTCTTTTATCTGAATAATTTGTTTGGAAGAAAAGAGTTAGGATGTTCTTTTGTAGTGTTTTCCCAAAATTAGATTATCAGAACTTTCTGAATTCAAAGAAACCAGAAATAATGTTTGAATGATAAGATTCAGGAATAAAGAACTCTAGACATTTTTAAATGCTCTAATTAATCTGTTAGATGTAGAGGCCTAATGTGGATGTACAAAGCTTAGAAAATAAACGAAATTGTCAGTTGAGGTAAAGTTTGAGTTCTTCTTCAGAAAGGTTTCTATAATCCTGAAAATGAAAAATAATATACTAGAGGACATTCAAGAAAGATAGGTGCTTGGGATGCATATAGCACTGTATCTGATCTTTGCGAAATGGCAAAACAGAGTGATTCCTGCTTCACAGAGTATTCTTGATAGGGTTGTATTGAGAGACGCAATGCTCCTTGTCCACAGGGCCTGCAGGCCTTAGTTATGGGGTCCACCAGCCATGCTCTGAACATGGCCTGGCCAGTTCTGAGCCAGTTGTTTTCTGAAGTCCCTGGGAATTCTGAGATCCTATTTCCTGGTGCCTAGGTTCCTTCCTGGAAGACCCCCAATCCTCAACAGCCAGATGCTCGGTCAAGGTGAACCTCCTTTTCAGAGTTACTACTTGAGGGAGGAAATCAGGCTCTAAGGATTAACGGGTGGGCCGCTGGTATTCTCTCTTAGCTTTCAGTAGTATATTTGATGACCATGCCTTGTAAGGGGTATGCATGTGTAGCTCTAGAAGGCAGAAGGAAGTCTCCCCAGCTTTACTAGATGTTCCTCATTCTCTCTGCCTCCATTTCTCAGTCTGAAAAATCGACTTCTGATTCCAATATAAATCAAATCCAATACAAATCAAGAGAAATACTTTGTGACTACAAATTTAAATGATTACTTTTAATTTTCAGTGTGTGGAATATATATGCAAGTTGTGAGAATGTGATAAACCTTTGACTAAATAGAGATGTCATCAAACTATTCAGGAGAACACTTAATTAGTAATAATACTTCTCAGCTGTGCTGGTGGCTCAGCCTGTAATCCCAGCACTTTGAGAGTGGGTTGCCTGAGCCCGCGGGCTCAAGACCAACCTGGGCAACTTGGCGAGACCTCGTCTCTACAATAAAATTAAAAAAGAAAAAAAGAAAAAAGAAAAAAGAAAAATAATTAGCTGGGCATGGTAGAGTGCACCTGTTGTTCCGGCTACTTGGAAGGCTTAGGTGGAAGGATCACTGGAGCCCAGCAGGTTGATGCTGGAGTGGCCACGAGAGTGCCACTGCACCCCAGCCTGGATGACGGAATGAGACTCCAACTCCAAAAAACTTAAAATTAAAATTAAAAATAAAAAAGTAACACTACTTCTCAATGCCTGTTATATACTAGAACCACCTGGAAACATCTTTAGGAAACTGCTAAATCAATGTCAGACTAATTGGGGTTGGGGCCAGAGTGGAGGTATCTTCAAAGCTTCCTCAGTGACTCTAATGTGCATCCAGGTTTCCTACTGAAATTCACCACGTTCTGCCTACAGAAGTTTACATATAGTCTGATAAAAGGAAAAAAAAAACAAAACAAAACACCTGAGACCAATTATATTTATTAATTGAGCAAAGAAGAATTCATGAATCAGGCAGTCTCCCAAACCAGAGCAGACTCAGACACCAGCGAAGCCACGTGGTGAAGGAAGATTCATGGTCAGAAAAAGGAAAGAGACAGAAAACAGAAGTGAGGATAGAAATAGCAGATTAGTTATAGTTCAGCGCTTGTCTTATTTGAACCTGGTTTGAATAGCTGGCTGCCTTTGACCGAAACTTGATGACTGGCACAAGAGTAGGTTACAGTGTGTTTACACATCCACCGGGCTCACCACGTGAAAGATTACGGAGAAACCTCTAGGTCAAACCCAAGAAACTTTGGACTAACCTTAATTTAATAAATCTCAAGGCCTGAAGACACCCTAAAAGTATAATCTTAGAAGAATGTTTATGATCAATATCCATGCACATAACTTACAGTAATCTTAGAGCTCAAAAAACTGGGGTGGAGATACAGATGTTAGGAATACTTTTTTTGTAATCTGACACTGTAGACACATCATGCAGTCTTTTTTTCACATCAAAACTTTCCATAGGGTTTTTGAGAGGAATTGCAATTTTTGGATACCCAACACATAGAACATGAGAGCAGCATTACTTCATGGGTCCCTAGGTAAAGTTTTCATTCATTCTGGGTCATGAAGCCTTTTCTGTTTTGTCTCTCCTCCTCCTCCTCCTCTTCCTTCTTCCTCTTCTCCTTCTCCTCTTTCTCCTCCTCTTCCTTCTTCTTTTTTCTTTCCTCTTTTTCTTTGGGTTGGGGTTAGGGAAATGGTAAGGTTGGATTGGTTTTAGGGCTTGGGGTTAGGGTTAGGGGCTAGGTTTTAAGGTTTTAGGGTTGGGCTTGGAATTGTAAAGATATGATTAATGTTAGGGTTTTAGGTGTAAGGTTTAGGGTTAGGTAATTTGTATTAGGCTAAGGCTTTTTAAATTTTTTTGTAATTTTAGCAGAAATTGGCAGAGCTTTTTTGAGGTGCTGGTCTTTGAAAATGGATTTGTAGCAGCTCTGACCTAGAAGTTACTGATTAAAAAATGGGCAAGAAAAGTTCATTCCTAGGTGGAAGAGAACAACCTTTCCCAGACCACTGAATCAGTGGCTTGAGTCTGCTGCTGCTTTGCCTTGTGTCTCAAGTTTCCAGAAAATCTCCAATCTGTGCATCTGTGAATTTTTTATGATGTGAAAGGAACTGTCCTTTTCAAATGAGACCTCAGGCCAGCAGCACCAGCTCACCTGTTAGAAATGTAAATTCTCAGGCTCCACCCCATATCTACTGGGTCAGAGCCTCACACCCATCTGGAGTTGATATTGCATGCATGCTCAAGTTAGAGAACCACCGAGCTAGGACAAAGTTTGTTTTTCTCCATAATAAGTGTATTTGTATAGAAAATCACGAAACAGGCATTTGTAGGTATGTGCCTAGTTTTGTGCTGAGTTCTGCTTCCTTCTCCCCTCCTCCCTCTCAACTCTTGGTGGTGAGGCAGCTCAGAGCTAGAGGGAAAATGAGGGGTAGCATTAAATCTTGGAATGACTCTGTCACCAGGGTTCCTCTTCCAGTCTTTAAGAGCCAGTAATCAGGTAAAGTTACATCATGTATATATAGTGTATAAGTAGCCAGAACTACATGAAAGGCTGAGGCAGAAGGATCGCTGGAGCCCAGCAGGTCAGCACTGGGGTGGCCGTAAGCGTGCCACTGCACTCCAGCCTGGGCAACAGAGTGAGACTCCAACTAAAAAAAAAAAGATGTACACAATGTGTAAAGATACACTATATACATATGCATCTCCGTTGTGAATGTGAGGAAGACAAAACCAGGCAATTCCAGAAATCAGGCACTATAGAGAATCGGAAGATCTTGAGAGAGACTTGGGAGACCAGAGGTCAGCAGGAGTGGGGAGGAGATGAGGCCTCATGAGGGCTACTTGCCTAGAATATTCTCCCTGCAGACAGTGCCCCAGCTGTGCAGCACAGAGCCTTGGGTCTAGGCAAGGACAGAAGGTGGCCTCAATGAACTCTGAAGGTTTCTTTCTAATAGTCAGTCATACTGTGACTTTAGGACTTTAGAAAAGGTAACAGAAGACAGCTGTGCTGTCTCCTTCAAGGGCTATTAAAAATAGTATAGATGTTCATCTCTCTTGGAAGTCCTGAAGGCAGAGAGAATGGATGTTATCTCCAGAACTCTTCCTCTTCCAACTGATAACAGTTGAAGTTATGTTATTACCTCTCTGTTTCCCCTTCCCTTCCTTCCCCCTCTCTGTCCTGCCCTCCCACCCATGTGGATCAAAGCCCAGCTCTGTAGACAATCAAAGAACTTCAGTAATATGGCCTATCTTTTAAACATCACAAGGCTAGCATGAATGGTTGTCCCAGTAACAAGAGAAATTAGAACTCTCTCCAGAGTGTTTCCAGTATCTAGATGTCTGAATTTATGGCACTCTGCTCAGTGCCTACATGCATTATCTCATTTAATTGTCACAACCACCCTATGATAGAGGAGCCATGAATATCCTTAATTTATGCAGGGATTTGAACCAAGGTGAAAGCCTGAGCTCTCATTCACTCTACCTTCCTGTGTCCTAAGATGTGGCATTGAATGTTAGCTAATGTCTGGATTCAGGTGGGCATGTGGTTACCTATTTGATCCTTGATTCTCTGGGCTCAAATTGAGACATGCAGTTACCTGTGCTCTTATGTTCTTTTCATTTTCTGGCTTGTGCTTCTAAACCTCTATTTGTGGCAATATTTTAAGTTAATTATTGGTACTCTAAAAGCTCTTAGAATTCCACATAGCACTTTAAATACACTATAACTTTAACATAAAAAATTAGCCACTGGGAGCTAGGCATCATTCTCTTTCCTGTGGGCTGAGCGTCACTGTTATAACAGGAATTCACTAATGAAATAGACATAAAAAGAGCCTTCTGGAAGATTTAAGAGGGTCATATATTCTGTGTAATTGTTATTTTCCTAGTTAACTTCATCTCCATTTGTGTACCTGCTACAAATTTTTTATTATTTTCAATTACTCTGTGTTTTATAATTTACATTATCTTTTATTTCCTTTTATTGTCCGAAGTATTTTATTTGATAGTGTGTATGGTGTACTTTTTAAGCATATCAACATGCAGTTCTTTGGGGTGAACTTCCCTTGATAGCTACCTAGAATACCTAGAAATTTCATGGCCTGTGCTCTTATAGCATCCTTTGAAGGAAAAGAGGATTAATTTTTTGCATGTCTAACAGCCTTGAATTATTATTGCTTTATAAAAGTAATGAATTTATAAATAAGACTCCTTTTTCTTCTTTTCTCAGGAATTACAACATATTGTTGGATCACAACACATCAGAGCAGAGAAAGGTAAGCATGGATCTGTATGAATATTCAAAATCCCATAGCATCAATTGCTCCTTGAGCTAATATGATTTCTCTCATCTCCAGCTATGCTGGGTGGCTCATGGCTAGACCTGACCAGGAGGGGCAAGTCTGAAACTCAGCCTTTTGCTCATCTCACTATTAATGCCACTGACATCCCGTCTGGTAAGTTCCATTTGCATCCAGCTTGAAAAATATTTTAAGAGTCAGATATCTGCTGGGTACAGTGACTCACACCCGTAATTCCAACATATGGGGGCATCTGGGCAGGAGAATCACTTGAAGCTAGGAGTCTGAAACCAGTCTGGGCAAAAAGCGAGACCCCAGCTCTACAAAATAACATGTTTAAAAATTGGCAGGGTGTAGTGGTGTGTGCCTGTAGTCCTAGCTACTAGGGAGGCTGAGGTAGGAGAATTGCTCCAGCCAGGAGTTGGAGGCTGCTCAGGTTACCACACGCCAGCCTGGGTGACAACAAGGCCTTATCTCAAAAAAATAAGTAAGTAAGTAAATAAATAAATACATACATAAAAGATAAGTGAAAAAATAAAAGAGAATAATTATTTAAAAGAGTAATGGCTGGGCTTGGTGGCTCAGCCTATAATCCCAGCACTTTGGGGGGCTGAGGCGAGTGGATTGCCTGAGCCAGCAGGTTCGAGACTCACCTGGGTGACTTGGCGAGACCTCATTTCTGCAATAAATACAAAAATCGTCGGGCATGGTAGTGCATGCCTGTAGTTCCAGCTACTTGGAAGCCTGAGGTGGAAGCATCGCCAGAGCCCAGCAGATCGATGCTGGGGTGGCCATGAGTATGGCCGTGGTACTCCAACCTGGGCGACATAGTGAGACTCCAACTCAAAAGAAAGAAAATTAAAAAGAGTCATATATCAGTCCATCGAAATAGTCAAATCTATTCTTAGCACGTTACTAAAGTTTTGAGGGCTGTTACTTGTAAACCAAAAGAAAAATCGTTTGTCTTCAGTTGATGATCCACATCCTGGAAACAGTAATCCTCAAAAATGCCAGAGTGGATTTTCAATCATCAGAATGGGTGTTTATTTTAAATGACAACCAGGTGAGGGTGTGTAATGGGAACGTGAAGGACATCCCTTGTTATGCTCATCCACGTCTGTCCATGTGAAGGCTACAGCCAGCACATCCCTACTGCTGACCTAAGGTGAATAGACTCTTCAGGTAGTCATACGCTCAGCTGTACCCTGCAGAGTTCCAGGGAGGGAAACTCTGAGATACTCTTTAATGTCTTTAAGAGTCAGTAGCCCTCTAGAAAATGAAGCCCCTCCCCCTTCTCCAGGGGCTTGTCATTTTCTCTGGGTAAGGGTTTCGCTCAATGGCTGGAGACCTGATTATCTTTTGAAAACGAGGAAACCTGGAGCTGTGTGCCTACGACTATCCTAATGCACCAGTGATTCCATCCTATAACCTCCATTGTCAAAAATATGACAGAGAGCTTGATGTGAATGTGATAATTGAACATTTCTGTTGTTATTAATATGCCACTTATCGAGCCCCTACTGTGTATGAATCAGGCATCTTTCTCTGTTTATTACCTCTGATCCTTACTACAATGCTGCAAGGTAGTGATTATCCTTCAGATTTTGCAGACAGGGAAACTAAAGGAAGTATAGTTTGTCATTTGTTCAAGGTCACAGTGGTGGCAGGACTGAAAGTTGAATCCACCCTAGTTCATTCTCAAATTCATGCTGGCTTTGTTATCCATTATGTTATAAGCAAGTCATGAAGTACTTGTGGTTAGTTGGCTTTGTCAGAGGGAAATACATTCGAAGCTCTTTTGTTGTTCTTTTCCTGTAAGGAGTAGATTGACATAATGTCTAATAACAGGAGTTTTACAATCTAACTGCCTGGATTTGAGGCCCCACTGTATTCTTTACTGGCTCTGTGACCTTGTTCAAATTATTAGAATTAATTGTGCCTCAGCTTCTCACATCTAAAGTGGGAATGATGATAGTATCCACATCATAGGTAGCTATGAAGATTAAATGAAGCCTGGGCAACATAGTTAGACTTCATCTCTACAAACATAAAAAAAAAAAAAATAGCCAGGCGTGGTGACTTGTGTCTGTAGTCCCAGCTACTCAGGAGTCTGAGGCAGGAGGACCACTTGAGTCTAGGATTTTGAGGCTGCAGTCTGCTACGATTACACCACTGCATTTCAGCCTAGGGGACAAAGCAAGACTCTGACTCTATTTAAAAAAAAAAAAAAAAAGATTAAGTGAGGTAATATACTAATATTCTTATATGTAAGATGGCATATTGCAAGCACTCAATGAATGTCATTTGTTCTTACTTTTTAAGTTTAATTGAATAATTATACATATCCTACATTTTTCTTGGAGTTACAACAAAAAGTCTAAGCTTTAATTAATGATTTCGAAGTCTTTAGCATGGCGTGGGCCACAGAGTGATCTTTCCTGACTGAGGACACAAAGTGAGAAACCAACTGTCTGGCTTTTAGAGGATTTTACAAATGACCTGTCCTGTCCCAGACACTTGGTTCATAAATACGATTTCTCTATGTGTGTCTATGCATGTCTTACAGTGGAGCTACTCTAATTTACTCTGAGTAGAAAACTACTTTGCATGTTAGCCAAGTCAATCAAATTAATATGGCTGCATCTGTATTAATTTCTCTGAGTGGAAAACTATTTTGCATGTTAGCGGAGGCAATCTAATTAATACTGATGCATCAGCCCTGTGTGCTATTAATGTATCGTACATTTATTTTTTTAGTTCACTTTAAATGGCATATGATAAATATTGCATTAGACTGTGTGCCAAAGTCTGTCTGGCAGTAGCAAGCATGTTTTAGTTATAAAACTCTCTCTGAGGCACCTAGCATCAAATCATTGCCAAAAACACAAGGTAAAACTCCTGGTTATTTTCCGACAGTTATTGAGTTTGTGACTGAGTAAGATGAGTTAGTGTGTGCTTCTGTTTAAGAAAATAGAATTTGCAGCTCTGGCTGGGCCAACAACCCCTTGAGTCTGCTTATTACCTAGTGGCCAATGCTAGATACTTCAGAGGAAGTTGGATTTAATTATTCATGTTCATTTGGGGACTCGGTTTTATGCTTATTTAAAGATGGGTGATCAGAATCAGCCTTATATGGACTGTTACCTTCCTTGTACATTTTCTTTCCTTTAAAACAGTTTTTTTTTTTTTTTTTTTTGAGACGGTGTCTTATTCTGTCGCTTAGACTGGAGTACAGTAGCACAATCATAGCTCACTGCAGCCTCAAACTCCTGGGCTCAAGCAATCCTCCCACCACTGCCCAAGAAACTGGGATTACACGCAAAAGCCACGGTGCCCAGCTAATATATTAAATTTCTTTTTGAAACAGAGTCTTGCTATGTTTCCTGAGCTGACCTCAAACTTCTGGCCTCAAATAATCCTCCCATGTCAGCCTCCCATCTGAGCCACTGCACCTGGCCTACTTTGTGCATTTTCAAAGCTTCTTGGATAAAATGCATTGGGAAGTACTTTATGAGGTCAGACTATATGGCTTTCTTTAGAAGGATTCTCGGGCTGAATACTTGCAGAGGCCTTTTCTCTGGCATCGAACAGCAGGGACCATAGCACAGGGCTGAGAAGGCTGGGGTCAGAGATTGTCAGCATGCTTCATCAGTGGTGGAAACCCAGGTTTCCATGTGAGGCCTCCAAGCTGACCTCAGCACATTTTTCTCATGTTTCCTCTCTGTGTTGTCTGTTTGAGTCCTCTGTTCACACTGCCTGGCTCTCTTCCCTTTCTCCTGTATGTTTCATTCTGTTCCATTCAGTTTCTCTCACTGACAGTACTCTTCTACCTTTCTCAATTTTGCATTTCCAAATTTGATCCCAGTTCTCGCGGTCCTTGAACTTCTCTGTCCCTGCACTGAGCTGAGCTCTCCTGACGGCCGTATATTTCTGCAGCTTTACTTGGCAATTTCTTGTAACTGAATGTCAACCATGTGCCATGCAAAATGTGAACTGAAAATGTTCTCTTTTATCTTATTTCCTCCTCAATTAGGTAGTGCCATGAGGATACACGGCCTGATATTCTTAATTACGGGCAGGTGAATGCTCATAGGAAACACCACATCAATATTGCATGAGTAATCAACAGAATGAATCAGTGAATGCATGAGTAAATGAACGAATAAAAATAGGTGCTTAGTAGGAAGTAAGGGCACACCTTCCCCTTGACGTACTTAACAATGGGCATGATATTCCTATTAAGTCAAGGTTCCTGTGTTCTCCCCTCTCTGTTTCATATTCCTTCCTTGCCTTCCCAGTCCACATCTTGCTACAATGCTCAATGATCACGTAAGGGTCATCATCTAAGGGTAGATTTGCCTTAGTCTTGTTAAGAGGTAACTATAAGACAAGTAATTGAATGAACAAAGGATTGAATGTAGGAGTGGGTAGAAGGAGGGCATAACTTGAAACAAGAAACATCTTGAATTTTATTAGCTTTGTCTGTGGGTTAGGTGACTGTTTACCAGCCTGGAGGAATTACTTTACTAGTATCCATGAGGATGTGATGAATTGGATCTTGAAGTCACGTGCTGACTCACTTGGGACCATAAGATGACATTTATATCTGGGATGCTTGAAGGTAGGAGGACCTGAAATAAGACCTACATGGAGTTTAGGAAATATTCTGTCCCTGGACAGAGGGATTGGAACCATTCGATTCTTGGTCTTCTAATGATGGGCTGTCCCACTGTAGCTTGGACACTGCTGCATTTTTTTTCTTCCAAGTGTTTGAAAGAATTGCCTGTTTGGTGCTTGGAACAGCCTGGTTTTGGGGTCCCCAGGTCATATCCCAGGCTTCCCAGTGGTCTTCCAGACAGTAGAACTTTCTCCATCTCATGGCTCTCATAGAGAAAAAGTCAGGTATTCAAGGTTCCCTGAGACCAGGTCAGTTTGTACGGGTCAGGTAGTGTGTGTTTCTTATTCTATGCAGATTCACCCTAACCAGAGGAGAGTTGTCGGTTCGGACGTTCCCTTGGAATCTACCCCGAGTCTAAGTCTGTGAGCTGATTTCTTTCCCTCAACATCTCAGGACCTGCCCTAAGTTGTAGATGGGTGTAATCGGCAGCAAAGACTTCTTGTGGCTGCAGAAGCTATCGCAGCATCAGTCTGCAGCTCAGCTCTTTTTCATCTTGTTGATTCTAAACAGGTGATGACCTTAGATTAGCTTAAGGACTTACAAAATCCTCTGGAGGAAAAATGTGATTTTAGACTTTCCAAAGTATTACAATTTTCCCCCATTAGTTACTACCTTTTTGTGTTGAATTATAGGTGTCCACGTAAATACAGCTGTTTGATTAATTGGGTTTTTCATAGAGGTATTCCTGATTTTTAATGCCCTGGTAAAATACACAAAGGACTTGAAATATGAAAGGCATTGGACGCATTGTAGATTTAGAAGATTCTTTAGAAACTTTCACTGCTCCAGAAACAGTAGCCAGAGGATGAGTTGTCACCTCGTTTTAGGTATGAGAAGGGGCTAAAGGAGCATTCTGAGCCATCTGGAACTTTGATTTTAAAGGATGGTGTGAGGTTGTTAGGCTAGGGAGTACAATGCCAAGAATATTTTCTTTTTGAGCTTCTCTGGGGGGAGCTTTTCAGTTATATGAGCCTGAGAGATATTTGGGAAATTGGAGGTGGAGAAAATAGGTGGTGAGGAGCATAGCGCTGAGAGTTTGACCTTTCAGCCAAAGTGAAAGTGACTGTGACCCAGATTTTCACTCCTTCAACTTATTCTTCTCCATGAATCAAAAGAGAAGGTTGAGACGTGTGAAGTATGGACATTCTTGTCTTAATTGCCTTTGGCTAATTCTCTTCCTTCAACCTGGGATGGCCTTTCTGTTTCTGTCTGTGTGGTTGAGTCTTATTTCTCTTTTTAAGTTCTCAAGCTCAGTAGCAATTCCACAGAGTCACTTTTGATCCCTATGGGCAAAAAGTATTCTTGATCTTTCCCTCCTTTGAATACCCATAGCAATTTTCTGCTTCTTGCCTGTCAGTACTCAGGTCTTACTTCCTACCTGAATGCAAGTCATACTTATCCTTAGGGTACAACAGGCCCTAAGGGCAGGAAAAATGAGTTTTTGTTTTTGTATCTTCTAATGTGCCTAATAGAAAGCACTAAATACATCTGAATGTATTTCTGCCTTTTAGAAAATGAATTCCAAGAAGTTATCCTCCCATTGCAATAATGACTATTATGCTATTTTTTTTTTTTTTTTTTTTGGTCTGATCTCATGGAATTATGAGGATGTCCTTATTTAAGGAGTAAATCTTTTCCTCCCTCCCTCTCTCCCTCCCTCCCTTCCTTTCTCAGGGTGTCACTCTGCCACCCAGGCTGAAGTGCAGTGAACGGCAAAATCATGGTTCACCATAGTCTCAATCTCCTAGACTTAGGCAATCCTTCTGCCTCAGCCTCCCAAGTAGCTGGAACTACAGGCGTGTGCCACCATGCACGGCCATCTTTTAAATTTTTTTGTAGAGATGAAGCCTCACTATACTGCCCCGGCTGGTTTTGAACTCCTGGGCTCAAGCAGTCCTCCCGCCTTGGCATCCCAAAGTGCTGGGGTTATAGGTGTCAGCCATTGCACCCGGAGTGGTTTTGGAATTACATGTTTCTCTCCTCCACAGGTTCCCATAAAGTGAGTCTGTCCTCTTGGTACCATGACCGGGGCTGGGCCAAGATCTCCAACATGACTTTCAGCAACGGAAAACTAATAGTTAACCAAGATGGCTTTTATTACCTGTATGCCAACATTTGCTTTCGACATCATGAAACTTCGGGAGGCCTAGCTACAGCATATCTTCAGCTGATGGCGTATGTCACTAAAACCAGCATCAAAATCCCAAGTTCGCATACCCTGATGAAAGGTGGAAGCACCAAATATTGGTCAGGGAAGTCTGAGTTTCACTTTTATTCCATAAATGTTGGGGGATTTTTTAAGCTACGATCTGGTGAGGAAATAAGCATCGAGGTGTCCAACCCTTCCCTACTGGATCCTGATCAAGATGCAACATACTTTGGGGCTTTTAAAGTTCAAGATATAGATTGAGCCCCATTTTGTGCAGTGGTGTCATTGAATTTCCTAGGTGTTTGGGAACTTTTTAAAAAACAAGCCAAGAAAGATGTATATAGGTGTGTGAGACTACTAAGAGCCATGGCCCACAAAGGTACAAGACTCATTGTTCATGTCCTTGGCCCTGTAGGGAACACGCATATTTACAGCCATTGGGAGATGTTGGACTCATGGTGTGTTACATAATGGTTTTACAATTTTGTAATGAATTCCTAGAATTAAACCAGATTGAAGCAATTATGGTTGCCCTTAGGAAAAACTGCATTTGGGCTATGGGAGGGGTTCTCTGGATCTAGCCCCTGGTTCTGTGCCACCATGCAGCGTAGGTGGAGAGGGTGACATCCTTGCAAATGAATGATCATCTGAAGAGGTAAGTTCTTTAGAATTGTTACATCACGCTGGAACCTGCAAATAAATACTTTTTCTAATGAGGAGAGAATTTATATGTATTTTTATATAATATCTAAAGTTATATTTCAGATGTAATGTTTTCTGTCCAAAGTATTGTAAATTATATTTGTGCTATTGTATTTGATTCAAAATATTTAAAAATGTCTCACTGTTGACATATTTAATGTTTTAAATGTACAGACATATTTAACTGGTGCACTTTGTAAATCCCCTGGGGGAAAACTTGCAGCTAAGAAGGAAAAAAAAATGTTGTTTCCTAATATCAAATGCAGTCTATTTCTTCATTCTTTTAAACTTAATAAACAGATGTTTTCAGACTTGTCAAGCCTGTGCAAAAAAAAAAAAAAAATTAAATGGATGCCTTGAATAATAAGCAGGATGTTGGCCACCAGGTGCCTTTCAAATTTAGAAGCTAATTAGCTTTTGAAAGCTGACATTGCCAAAAAGGATACATAATGGGCTACTGAAATCTGTCAAGAGTATTTATATAATTGTTGAACAGGTGTTTTTTTTTTTTTTTTTACAAGTGCTGCAAATTGTACATTTTTTTTTAAATAGGAAAGTTATTAGTGGTTTATCAGCAAAAAATTTCATTTTTTAATTTAGTAAAAGTTATTTTATACTGTACAATAAAAACATTGCCTTTGAATGTTAATTTTTTGGTACAAAAATAAATTTCTATGAAAACTTGCCTTGTGGTTTTGTACTTCTCTTTTATGTCTGTCTTGCTCTGTGGTCCTGTCCTCTCCAATATGGTAATGTGGCTTGTCTTTCCAAAGGTTACTGGGAAATGCAGATTTAATTAAAAATTAGGAACAGATTCAATTAAATTAATGAACCTTGGAATCTGCAAAATAATTTGCAAGGCATTTGTATGCAAGAAGGAAACCAGATAGAAAACAGAGCCTTCTTCACTCAAAAAAGACATGTTATGTTGATATCATGAAAAAAATATGGTGCTTTGTTTAAGTTCATAATGTTCTAAAGAACAACTGTTTGACCAGGAGGAGCACCTGACTGTTTTATACTTTACTATGGTAAAGAAGGACTAACACTGGGCTGAACCCTTGTTGTCATGGAAATTTCTGTGGGGGAGCTGTCTAAGCCAGGCTGGCTGCCCCTGTGAGAGAGATATTAAGAAAACAAGCAGCTTGAGAAGGCACAGTAGGCCATAACATAAGGCACTTGCTATTTGTGGATAAATGTTTCTAGATGGTTATAACAGGATAGAAGGAGAGAAGAAAGAGGAGATGCTACTAAAATGTTATAAAATTTGAACAGCAGAGCATAGTGAAAGTCAATCACTGGCCAAAATACTACTATGGCTTAAAAACCACTAGTAAGTCTGGGCTCACTTGGTACAAAATATGACTTCAGTGTTGCATATCCCAGTGACTGAGCCTTGGTTTAAAGAAAACTTAAGTTGGTAAGCAATCAGTTTCTCAATTCTCCAATGACAGAAAATCTTGTCTTATAGAAAGCCTCATTAGCTACTTTGGCTCTTACAATATGATTTTGTCATTTCCAGAGGTGAATAGCATTCATGCATTTGTTGTTCCATATTATTTGTTGAATACCAACTATGTGTTGGGCATTGTGTCAGGCTCTGAGGATACTATAGCATTCTCATGCCCTTGAGGGGTTTACATTCTAGTCCAAAGCCAGTCTAGTAAGGGTGTACTAAGCTTTAGGGCATGGGTGTGCAGGGCACGTTGTGGGAGAAGACAGGAAGCTGTGGAGCCCATCTTAGGAATTTTGGAAGACATGAAAATAAAATCAGCCTGAAATCAACATGCATAGGAAATGGAGTAAAAAACTTCAAAAGTGGATGTAGAATATAATATCCATTACCTTTTTTTTTTTTTTTTTTTTTTTACTTAGAAGTAACTAACTTGCAAACTCTCAAAGATGAGTTAAAACCAAAGGTTTAGGAATGGAAATAACAGAGGGTCTAGATGATACAGTGGTGCAAGCCATATTGAAGAACAAACATGGTGGATGGTCTGCAATACCAAGGAGAGCCTCTAGAGAAGACCGCAATAATTTAGCCTGACTCTAATGTGATTTTATGTACATGAGCACCCTGGTAGGTCAGAGATCCTTAGAGCTTTGCTGGAATGAATCTGTGACGTAATGAAAAGTGAGCATAACGTGACCTGTGCCTTGAATGAGGCAACTCTAGCAAGTGAATATTCCAGGAGGTATGGAAAAGATCTTTTCTGTTTTCTAGTCATGCTCAAGGCTGGCCAGGATCTGAGTAGCAGTGACTGAAATGCAAGATGCAATACCCTACTTTTCCCATTCACATGCTACTTTTTTCTTCTGCTTTCTCTTTTCACTCATTCCTTTTGCTACTTCTATTCTTCTGTATGTGTTTTAACTCTTCCTAGTTTTCTTTCCCTCCCCCCCACCCCCATACCTGGCTCTTACCTCAGAGGACAATTTAGTCTCTCTAGTGACTCCTAGGGAATAAGGAGGCTGCTGCATCTAATTGAGATGGAACCAGATCACAACAGCACTCAGCAACAGCTACGTAAACATGTAGAGATGGGACAAAGTAAAGTGAGGAAGCCAACACACACTAGAAGTGTGGGCAAACAGAATTTTTTGCTCATTTTAACCTTCTTCCTAACACATGCCAAATCCGAAGGAAGGAAAATATGCTAAATTGGAAGGAAGCTGTCTTATTGAATTTACTTTTACAACCACGCCTGACTCACTCTTGTATCTTCCCAAAACACCACATGTGCAGCAATCCTTGTTTAGTGTGCTGGCTGCTGCCCCCTTTTGGCCTGTTTCCTGCTGTCTCATTCGTTTCCTTTAGGCCATCCTAGAAAAATATCTGCAGAAGACCATCTACTTCCCCAGTAACTTTGTTGGGAAACTGAGCACCTCGTGCTTCATCCTTTCTCCCCATGTCTAATTATTGGTTTGACTGGAGGTAGTTGCTTCAGGATATACTTGCACATTTGGGGAGCACAGCTGTGACTCGATTTGCGGGTCTGCGTTTAACCTGGCCAAGCATGCACTTGCTTCATTTTTGGCTTTGTTAATCGATTCTCCAGCTTTCTTGCTTATGAAATTGAAATATGTTTCCTGGTAGCTGCATTTATAAATGCTAATTAGTTATTGATTCACATTATTATGATTTAGCCTTGTGTCACTCTTTACAATAAAAATTGTGTACACAGTGTTGGATTTTAGCAATAAAATAGAAATCTATCCTTTTGATTAATAACACTTTTATGATACTTCTACTCCTCTATTGTAATTGAAAAATTTTATTTCCTAATCATCTAGTCTCACCTCCCCTTTCCTTCGATTGATTTTCTTTGCAGGGGTTTGTCATTACTGCATCTTGACCAATTCTCTGGCTGTTTATTGCGACAGTCTCTTTGATAATATCAGATGTGGACAATTTATAATATTATTCATAGTGCTACTGGTTTTCAATGTCTACAGAGAAATCCTGAAGAGTCTCTGTTTTGAAAATTCTTAGAAAGATGAGGTGGAAACCACAAAAAGCTGGAATTATTTTTCGAAAGGTAGGTCCCTTGTAGTACAGTGCAGTACAGTATAGGTTAGTGTTCTAGGAACCCACTGGCATCAGTGTACCCGAGCGCTGTTGTGAGAGGCTGCACTCAGCTTCAGTTAATTTTTTTGGAGATTCTTTCAACGCACTTGCCCATTTCTGATTTCGAGCACACCTGCCCAAACTGCGCTGAGTGCTCACCAGTTTTTGACCAAAAAACCCAGCATGACCCCATGGTCCACCCTCCCTATTCACTGGATCTCACTCCTACTGACTTTTTTGCTTGTTTGTTTCCCTGGATGAAAAAAGTTCTTAAAGGGAAACGTTTTGCCAGTGTGAAAGAGATGAAACAAACAACAGAAGCACTAAAAGGCATCAAAATCAACAAGTTCAAAAACCGTTTGAGCACTGAAAAAAGGATCTTAATAGGTGTATTGAGTCAAACAGAAAGTACTTTGAAGGCAATTAAGTTTAAACACTTAAGAATAAATATACATTTTTTAATAAATAAATTTCATTTTTTGGGAGAGTTCCCCCCATATCTCTTTTACTCCATTAGCAGCAGCCAGAGGTACGAACCAGGGATCAGAGCTGGTTTCAGAGACAAGTTCTCCTTAAAAAATATTAACAGATGCTTCAATCTCCTTAAAGAGCAGCAGCCAGAGGTACGAACCAGGGATCAGAGCTGGTTTCAGAGACAAGTTCTCCTTAAAAAATATTAACAGATGCTTCAATCTCCTTAAAGAGGGTCTTAGAATCATGGGATGACACTCTCTTGCACAAAAGCCACTTTCTTCCTTTTTCTATGGACTCTGTAGAAGCATCATTTCTCCAAAAGTGTGATCTCAACAACCTCAGGTTGGTGGAACAAAAAGTTCTCATGAGATGTGAGCATCTTTTGGAAGAAAGATTGCAGATTTAGGTGTCAGCCAGACCCAAGGCTGGAATCCTATCCCTGTTGCCTGGTAATCTTGGGCAAATGGCTGTCATCTGGGCTTTAGTTTTCTGCCTTGTGAAGCGAGAGTCATCAGTCTATGCTGAAGAGTCATGAAGACTGGCACATGAGAGGGACGCAACCCATAGAAGGCACCATTGCTATCATCCTACTGCATTTGCTACATCTTTCATTCCCATGGTGAAGCACACAGTATATCCTTTTTTTTTTTTCTAGATACTGTTCAGGGCCCACGTTAAGCAAAATATGGTGCATTGTGTTGTGGAGATACTGGAATAGATGCTTTATTCATTTCTTAAGGCTTCTCAGATAACAAATGACCACACACTGGATGACTTTAAACAACAGAAATATATTCTCTCATAGTTCTGGAGACTAGAAGTCCAAAATCAAGGTGTTGGCAGGACCATGCCCCTCTGAAGACTTCAGGGAAGAATGTGTCCTTGCTTTTTCTAACTTTTGGTGGTTACTAGTGACCCTGGCTGCTCCTTGAGTAGCGGCTGTGTCACTCCAACCTCTGCCTCTGTCTTCACGTGGCTTCTTCCCTATGTCTCTTCACATGGGCCTTCCTCTGTGTGTCTTTGTGTTCTCTGTGTCTCTAAATTTCTCTCTCCTTAGAGGACACCAAGCCGGGCTCGGTGGCTCAGCCTGTAATCCCGCGCCTTGAGAGCCTGAGGTGAGTGGATTGCCTGAGCTCGCGGGTTCGAGACCCACCCGGGCAACTTGGCGAGACCTCATCTCTACAATAAATCAAAAATTAGCCGGGTGTGGTAGCTGTAGTTCCAGCTACTTGGAAGGCTGAGGCGGAAGGATTGCTGGAGCCCAGCAGGTCGAGGCTGCGGTGGCCGGGAGTGGCCACTGCACTCTAGTCTGGGCGACAGAGTGAGACTCCAACTCAAAAAAAAAAAAAAAAAAAAAAAAAAGGACACCAGCCACTGGATTTAGAGCTCAGCCTAATCCAGTATGACCTCATTTTACCTTGGTTACATCTGCAAAGGGCCTATTTCCAAATAAATTCACATCCACAGATTCCAAATAGACATAAATTTGGGGGGAACACCAATCAACCCAGTGCAGATGAACCCAGTGCAGATATCAGTGCACTGATCAACCCAGTGCAGAGAGTCCAGGAGTAAAATATCTGAAAATCAAACCATAGCCAAACTAAAATGAAATGCCACCACAAAAGCACAAACTATGTGTTG